CTGTAACGCAGGAACCATTCAGTATATTTTTCCACCTGCTGCTTTCCTATCAGCCTTGTTCTAACCAACAAGAATCTTAAATTCTTAAAAGTAAAATGAGTTTAATATATTTAAATTACATAAGGCAAATATGAACATCAGGGAAAATATGCTAGATCTCTCTCCAGATTGAACATATGTTAATTTTTAAAAATCATTGCCTTTTTTATTTCATTGAATAAATAAAGTTTGGAAGTGAAATTGTCAAATGGTTTCTGAAAGAGTGGATTCCCTGAATAATAATACCAGGTCATTCTTTTAGAAGACAGCAAGTGTGGACTCTGCAGTTCATTTTATTTAGGCTAGTATATTTTCTTCAGTAAGTGGCAGGAGGCTCAATGCATTCAGTTCCAACTGCTTGTGGGAGACAGCTGTTTGATGGACTTGGAAGAATGTGACTGCACTGATAAAAACCCAGAGCTTTGAAAAATTAATGTATTTTTACTATAACATGCTGGCTGAAGGATTCTTGGAACTATAGTTTTTTTTTAAAAAAAAAATTCCAAGTCCTTTCCAGAAAACAATACGCAGAGATGAGACTTCCTGCACACCATCTTCCACTTCAAAACTGCACTCCTGCCAGTCCACCAAAGTCAGGCATGTGGGAATGCTAGGAAAAATGACCTATGTTTTGCTCCCCAGAAAAACTGCATTAGTGGCAACCTTAGGGGAGCACAAAGTTGGCAGGGAGGTGAGAAAGCAGGAAGGTCTAGGCATCTTTCAGGTGATCTGCAGCAGATCACATGAAAGGACTTCATGCATCCTGCTCCCATGTCTGTTAGACTTAGGATCTGACAGTATTTTTCAGATCTTGGATATAGGCATATACATAATGAGATATCTTGGAGGTGGGACCCAAGTGTAAACATGAAAATCATTTATATTTCATATACCCCTTATAAACAAAGTCTGAAGTCAGCCCTCTGTATCCACAGATTCTTTACTCACAGATTCAAGCATTCATGGCTTGGAAATATTTGTTTTAAGTATCAATTCCAAATAGCAAATCTCTATTTCATATAAGGGACACCATTTTCCTATGCCACTGCATTTAGTAGGACTTAAGCATCTACAGATTTTGGTATCCATGGAGAATCTAGGAACCAAATCTCAGCAGATAACAAGGGCCCACTGTAGTTTTGTACATAATATTTTTTAAAAATAATTTTTGTGCATGAAACAAAGTTAATGTACACTGAACCATCACAAAGCACGGTTGTCACTATCTTAGACATCCATGTGTATGATTTTGGAGTAGTTCAGATTTTGGAATTCTAGATAAGGGAGACTCAACTTGTATAATAGAAGATATAACTTTGATATCTGCTTAAACTGAGAACTGTCAGAACATCATTTTTAGAAGTCATAATTATATTTTTTTTCAAAATTGGCAGGATTAACATACGATCTAGATCTATGTCTTGATCGCCGGTGATTGGGATCTGTTTGATTTTTCTCCTTTTGCCTTCTCAGTACTGCTTCCCACTGAGGAGCTGAATCAACCATGTCATTCTCTTGCCGTAATCTGTGGAAAGATTAACATACTAAGAGTGAACACCTACCTGAGAGATCAATTTTTTTAACAAATTGACATCATTGTGAGAAAGCACATTACATTTCACTTCTTCTGTGTATCACTTCTAAAATGTTACTCACTCTTCCCACATGCTAATAAAGGTAGAAGACAGAGGAGAAAACATTTGGAAGAATAATCCATTTGAGTTTATGTACCTACATCCCACTGATTTCAGTAGAAGGTAGTTAAGCACAGTTTTGTTTTTAAAAATGACAGTATATTTAAGGTGAGATTATTCTGACACTTAGCCTGGTATTCGTCAGCATCCAACCGTGTGGGTCTGCTGCTGAAACAGCTTGTGTCCAAACAGGGAGGTGATGATATCTCCTTGTCTCCACAGTCTTCTGCACACCCTCCAAACCTGTTTCAGCAGACTAGGCTTTGGAACAGGTTTGGGGGCAGCACGGGAAGGTTAGATGGGAGCCAAAAAAGAAAAGCTCTGTCAGACTAAATTGTTGGCCATCTCCAGGGTCTCACATTTAAAACTTAATAATTTTGCTTCAGTAGAAGGGCAAAGTATTTTCAGAAAAAATTCTTACAGTGAAAGATAATGAACCATCCCATATTAATAAGTCAAAGTCTTAATGAAATAACAGCAAAACTGGACCATTTGCCTCTTTTAAGAAATATGAAAAAGCAAGCACTGAAGGTTCATACATATACTGTATAAACAGATTCAGTATGTGAATAAGGGTCACCAAGGAAGACCATCATGATCATCAGGCTGGACTTAAATCACTGGTCAACAAACCTGTAAAACCATTTTTTGCTCTTGATACAGCATACAGTCAACTCTCCACATTGTGGATTTGACTTTTGCAGATTTGATTATTCATGGATTTTATTACTATGTTCTCTCTAGGAATATCTAGGTCCTCCAGCGCAACTCTATGGTCAACTTTAACCAAAAGTCGCACTGAAAGACCCAGAGATTCCTAGAGAGAACACTCCACTGTGCATTTGTAGCACAATTCTATGGTCAATGTCTGGCAGATGTTGACCATAGAGTTGCACTGGAGGACCCTAGAGATTCCTAGAGAGGTGTTCTCTCAGGTAAAAAAACAGTGTTTTTGTTATTTGTGTTTTTTCCACATTCACAAGGATCCTGTGCCCTTAACCCTAGTGAATGTGGAGGGACCACTGTACTGCCATGAAGCATTGGACAATATAAAAAAAATCCCAAATACTTATAAACTTATTAAAGAAATAGGATTTCTAACATTGGAAACATGCGTTTTATGCCATAATTCCATATGTCCATTTGATACAAGGGTATCGTAAATTAATAATTATCACCCAGAAGTTATTATGGTATATTGATGAAATTTTGTCAGTGTCATCATCGATCCCTAAGTGCATGATGTTGAAAATCAGCTCATTGTGTCCTTTATTTTTGTTACAGGTTGTGCTAGAAGTGACTAAAGTGTGAGATGGAGAACACTGAGGCTCACAGCGTGATAAAGTTCCTGCATTTGAAGGATAATAATGCCCGGCAAATTCATGATGAGATGATGGTAGTTTATGGAAACGATTTTCCATCTAATGACACTATTGTGAGGTGGAAAAGGAATTTCCAAACTGGTCACATGTCCCAACAGACAAGCCAAGACCTGGAAGACCATCATGATCCAGCCACAGTGAAGAAAGTGAAGTGTTTAATTCTGGAAGACAGACGAGCAACCATCCAAATGATCATGAATGAAACTGGTCTCAGTTATGGTAATATGTGGTAAATTATTCATGACAAACTGCATGTGTCTAAGGTGTCTGCACACTGGGTTCCACGTTTGCTAATCCCTTTCCAGAAACAAACATGGTTTGACCTTTCAAGACAGATGTTGATGCTGTTGGAACAAGATGAAGAGGATTTTTTTGGTTGTCTGGTAACCATGGATGAATCTTGGATCTATGAGTATGATTCAGAGACCAAAACCATGAGCATGGAGTCAAACATGCTGATTCCCCTCCCCCCAAAAAGGCAATGGTGCAAAAGTCAACAGGGAAGGTCATGCTCTCAGTTTTTGGGGACTGTCGTGGAGTCGTTCTAACAGATTATCTTGCAAAGGGACAAACCATCACTGGCACATACTACAGCATTCTTCTGGACAAGTTGCGAGATGCTCTGAAAAAGTAATGCCACAGTATGCTCTCCAGAGGCATTCATCTCCTAGCTGACAATGAACCAGCTCACTCATCTCAAGTTGCAGTTAACAAAGCAAGTGCATGTGGCTTTGAGATTTTGCAGCATCCGCTTTATTCTCCCGACCTTGCACCAAGTGACTTTTTCTTATTCCCAGAAATGAAAAATACACTGCAGGGTTGCAGATTTGACAACATAAATCACGTGTCATTCATGAAGTGAAAGAGTGGTTTAAGGCACAATCTGCAGACTTCTACAATAACGGTATTCAGAGGGTCAAGAAACTCTGGGAAAAATGTGTAAGTCTGGATGGTGACTATGTAGAGAAAAGTTAACAACTATAAATCAGAACAAATCTTCTGTCAAAATTGTTTAAAGGTGATAATTAAAACTTTACGATAGCCCCTCGTACATTGTAGAGAAATGACATGCTCTTAATACTGTTTTGTTATTTACTGGCTTCATTAAGCAGTGGACCAGCTCATTTCTGTTATAATGACGTTCTTCCCTGTCATAACAGAGTAACAGGATAAATGATTCATACCGTTTGAAGGATATGATAAAATAATCTATTTTCCACCAGCCAATGAGCACTATCTACATACCCAAAGGTTTGGAACAAATTACCCTACAGAAACCAGACCACAGTGTGAAATAAGTGAAATGGTGTTTACAGAGCAAACAGAGCATTACTCAAAGAAGCAACACTGAGGATTAATGTAAAAGTTCCCCAAGATACCAATTTGATCTGGGATAAAATTCCTTTCCAACCCATACAGATCCATCAGTTGCAGCTTTAGTAGAATGAATTTCCTAAGTAGTATTAGGAACATTTTATCATGCATTATCTGCCATCACTGGCAGTCTTTCTAATAATCCAGGGCAAGCAGGAGCAATTGGAAATAAAGTAACAGTCAAAGACTAATAATTCAAAAATATAGCCATGTTAGTCTGTAGAATCAGTATGTAGAGAGATCTTGTAGCACCTTTGACACTAACTGAAAGTTGGTGACATGAGCTTTTGTAGACTTCAGTCTATTTCCTCAGATGCATTTGATCTGAATTACCTGTTAGACATGCCTGCATGCACACAGGCAAGCATGCATGACCACACATGATCCCATTCAAGCTATTCAACTTATCACTGGAGCTGGAGCATGTTGCAGTTTTAGACCCATGATACAAAGGCTTTTCTTCCCTATTGTTATATGTTTAATTATGAAATATTTGCCTTTAGCATAATGAACCAACATAGCACAGTGGTTTGAGTGGTGGACTAAGACTCCAGAAGACCAGGGTTCGAATCCCCACTTGGTCTTAGAAACCCACTGGGCGACCATAGGCAAATGATATTTTCTCAGCCTCAGAGGAAAGCAATGGCAAACAACCTTGGACAGAATCTTGCTAAGAGAACCTATGATAGTCTGAGTCTGACTTAAAGGCACATAACAAGTACATCAGCAAAAATGAGAAAAGATTATTGTGCAGGGCAGGAGAGAGAAATTAAATGTTTACAAACATTATAAAGAAAAGAAAACCTGTTAACTATTATAATCCAAATAATAATTCAATTATTTGGGCAGATTTCTGCTTAAATACTGTAGGCTGTAAATTAAGCTAAGCACTCTCTTTTTAGTACTTGCAGGATTTTTTAATCACCTGTGTCTTTTCTTCCGATGTTCTCTGTTAGAGTTTTCTGACTCACTGCCACTGCTGGTATTACAACGGGATCGAGATCTAAAAAGGAAAAAGTCAAAATAATGTTGGCAAAAAAACTGAACAGTCTAACCAATAAAACAAATCAGAAAACAATGGTAAAGTTTTAGTATATATCAACCAATTTCAGTTCCACTCTTATGAATAGTGTCATCCTGATCCTAATATCCTTTTACAGATATGCAAACAATTTAAACACACTTTCCCTTATCACTCCCTCTAATAATGAACACAAGTTGTTAAGTGACACAAGCAATGAAGCCACAAGAATGAAGTATTAATATGCTTAAAAAAACATTGGGGTCTGCAGAAGGACAAAACGTCCTGTAGGAGAAAAAAAGAAAACCAAAGATAGCCCAATGATCCTTGAATCTGCTGTGCAGCCACAAAATGTTGAACATCATTTTGGGAAAAACTGAAAAACTGAAGGGAGAGTAAATAATCAGCTGGCTGGCAAGAACCCTGAACTGGAAAGCAAGGAGAAAACATTGAAACATATTGTTGCTGGTCCTTTATTATCAACATCCAATTTGTTACCTTCTTCTAAGTGGCTGCCCAGGTTCATTTTCACTTCCACCTGAAGGATGTCTTCGTCGTGAATAAGGAAATTTTGGTGATCTGTTGCGATCACTAGGAGAATTATATAGTCCACTAGGGTAAAAAAAAAAGTAAAAATAAACTAGTTGAACATAATTTCACATCACATGTTGGAAAGTCATTTAAAATAAAAACAACCCTGTTATTTAGTTAAGAGTAAATGAAATTTTCTATGTGGAAAGGTATGTAACTGATAAGGTGATAAGATATGGTCTGTCTGAGACTGAAAACATTATTGCTTTGGGGAAACTAATACTTTTTCAGGCAAAGAGCAATCACACACAAATCCTCAGAAAGAATAATTATAGGGCATTAAGGCTATTTCCATTTATACCACTGCTATAAGAAGTCACAGAGAAGAATATAGAATCAATATTCCTTGAACAGGAGACTTATGTCATCAAGAATACCTGTGCTGTGGTTTTCAAATATATGTTTTCCTCACAGCATTAGTGAAAAGAAGCTCCTGCACTCTACACCAAAGCAGGGAATGCAGGATCTTAGAATTTTAGTTATGTATAAGATTACAGTCATTAATTTGTACATATCATTTGCTCATGCACATATTTTTCATTTCAATATTAATGCTAGCAACCATTCACAGTTCAGTATGGGGGGGGGGAAGTGAGAACATGAACTAATATTTTGAAAGGAGTCATTCTTGTAGACTCAAGTTATATGCCTTTAATACATGTACTCTAGTTTGTCTTTTTTACTCAATATTCTAAAAATGTATAATCAGTAAATATTAATTTTTTAAAACTGTAAAACAGTCTGCAAGTTGTATTTTAATAAATAATATACATATCAGTTATATTAAGAACTTATTTGAACCACTCATTAAAATAAAGAACTAACAGGGGAAAGCAGAGGGGTAGATCTGCACTGTTGCCATCACCCACAGAAAACATCACACACATATATATTGACATTTGTGCTCTTTCTCATATATAAGCAGAGTATATATAGAGGGGAGCAGAGAGAGAGAGAGAGAGAAAGCTGTTAATCACACACACAAACACATATCTTCAATGATATTGACTGCATCCTTCTTGGATCCAGGACAAAATTGGGAGATCTGTTGGTCTGCTTGGAAATAAATCCCTTTCTTTATTCATGCACTCTATGCTGTTGCCCACAGAGTTGATGAAGGGGACAGAGGAAGGGGCACACTTCCCCCCCCCACACACACACAGGAATTCCATATTTGAAAACACAAGAGAATTATGGGGAGGGGAGAGACAGATCACTTGCTTATTGCATTGTATCATGTTTTCAAGGCAACACATTGCTGAATACCTTTGTGGGCAGTTTTCTTCCCATGGTGCACTGTTTTTACTTCTTTGGGTTTCTGGACTACTTTCATTTCTTGACTTTTTAAAACTGATAAACATGGAAAAATAAAAAGATATTTTTTTAAAAAGGCAATAGAACACAAAGATGTTTTAACACCCTGCTCTCTACACATTCTTTCTATCGAATTTGCTTAAGAGTATATGTTCTTTGCTTTCAACTGGGAAAGAAACCATTAGTATTTACCCTCTACAATCTATCTTGTCCATCTTATACACAGAAACGAAAGTGTGCCTCCCTCTGGACCCCCTGTTCATGAGACAGAGTTCATGATCCACTTCCAACATTTTTATACATCCAATGGTGACATAACATCCACGTACAGCACCAAGACATGTTCAGAATTATGTTACTGATCATCAGATTTCTTCCTCCAGAGAAACATCACATGGTTTTGACAAAGCTTTTAATAGAATTATTTTGTCTCCATATAGCTATCTGAAAATGGTGCCTCCATACAATGGGCTGTATAGATATCATTTGATTTGGCCCATCTTCAGGAGCAGCCAAATCTAGAAATTTGGCTTCCTGATATATGTTCAATGTCCCTGGCAGAGAGCCATTTAAGGCAGCAAAGGGAATGCTGATACAATTGTCATATCCTCACAAATACTGGCAATACTCTCCAGCTACTCAGACAGCCCTTTAGTTCCTCCCTGTGAGGCCTGTTGTAAAGCTTTCTTCATCAGGACAACAGTTAGACTCCATTGGAATTGTTTTTGTTTTTGTGTCTGTCCAGGGACTCCAACATACTTGCTTATTCCACCATCTGTCTATAATAGGCGTCACCAATAATAAATGACTCAGTGGAAAGGAGATGGTAGAGCAAAGCAGAATATTACAAGACAGTTTTAAAGCCTGAAAAGGTAGTCAAGCTTCCCCTAACATGCCCTCCATATGTACTGGATTGCACTTCTCATTATTTGTAGCCAACACAGCCCATGTTATGGCTGGGAATTATGGGAGTGGTACCCTAAAGACGCCAGATTCCATCACATCGTGGAAGCTAAGCTGGATCAGCTGCTAGCGCGGTGTCTTCAGTACGCTGATGACACCCAGATATACTTCTCCAT